ATACCTCCTACCGTTCTTCTATTCTTAAGGAGTGCTTTGCTTATCCGGGGCTTTTTTCCATTCCATATGAAATTGGAGATTGCCTTTTCCATCTCGTTGAAGAATGGGGTTGGTATTTGTATTGGGATTGCATTAAGAGGCAGGGATCTTGAGTGAGGGAACTGAGTCTGAGCGACACTGTGAGGTGTCCTAGAGCGAGCATGTGAGGTAGGGAAGGGCCAGAGGCCTGCTCTGTATTCAGGTTGCCAGTCTGGGAACAGTGGGGAGAAGGGCCAGCTAGAAGGGAGCCGAAGGATGGCAGGACGACAGACCTACTGCTGGCTCGAGCCCCAGCCCACCTCACCTCACACTTTAGCGCTCACTGGGTGACCCCGACCCCGTGCTCCTTGGGTAGCACCAGCAGGACATTTGTTCTGGAGGGCTGTGAGCCCTGCAGACAGACCCTCTGCGACTGTCCCAACTCCTGGTGATCCTGTCGGGGTCCCAGTGCCAGTCTGAGAGGAGGCTGCGTGGCTGTCTCAGGCTGTTGAAACGTCACAGCACTCATTTCTGGTTAGCTGCTCCGATACAGTGCACGTGGTGCCAGCCAGGGTTCCTCAGAAGGCTGTGCTGTGGAGAGTGACCGAGTCAAAGCGAGATGAGGACATTTAGGATCTCATGTGTCCCCCGTGGGAGATGCTGACACTGTCCTCTGAGCAGCTGGCTCCGGGGGAAAGGAGATCTTTTCCACCTGGGGGCAGGGGTCCCCTGGTGGGAGGACGCGGTGTGACAGCATCTGCTCCCCAGTCTGGTCCTGCTGGCCCTAGGCTGGGGCAGGACCCCTGGAGCAGCCCTGTCACACGAAGACCCCTCCTGCCCTGGCCTCCACCTGAGAGCAGACCCCCCCACCTGAGAGCAGACCCCCCCCACCTGAGAGCGGACCCCTCAACCGAGAGCAGACGCCCCTTTGGCCTTGGAGTGGACTGGGGCCTGGAGGCCCCTGCAGTGTGCTGTCCTTATGGTTTGTGCCAGAGCCTGAATGAAGCCGGGCCCCCCCCAGCCGTGGGACAACGTGGGGCAGTTCTCTCATCAGATTGGGGTGGGGTGACAGGAGGAGGTCATGGTCAGCCTGACTGTCCTAGCACGCAGCCCCTCCGCCAGCTCCAGCTCCAGGCTGGGCCAGCCTGTCTTATGAGTTGGGCAGACACTTCTGGACACAGGCCCAGCCAGAGGTGATGGCTGCAGGCCTGGACACTCCGTGAGGGAGGATGGCCTGCAGGTAACCTCTGGCGCTCAGGTACAGAGGCCGTAGCAGGGACCTGGTGGCTGTCCTCCCCCAGGTCTCACCGCAGTCCACACCGCCAGAGGGGACGCTGGCTCCGCCTTGGTTCTGTCCCAGAGCCCTCCAAGCCTGCGCCTGTGGGTGGACGGCAGAGCGTCCCTCTGCCCCGCCCTCCGGCTGACTCGGGTCGCGTCTCCATCTCAGGTGCGCGTGGGTGACCTTGCTCTCCTCCCTCCTGGGCAGGAAGTCCAAAGCGAAGCCGAACGGGAAGAAGCCGGCACCAGAGGAGAAGAAGACCTACCTGGAGCCGGAGTATGCAAAGTCCAGGATCACCGATTTCGAGTTCAAGGAGCTGGTGGTTCTGCCCCGGGAGATCGACCTCAACGAGTGGCTGGCCAGCAACAGTGCGTGCAGGGGCGCGGAGGGGGGGACAGGCACAGTGCATGGGGCTGGGGGAGCAGCGAGTGCAGGTGGTGGTGGGGAAGGGGCAGCCGTGGAACCAGCCCCTGCCCAGCCCCTTAGCCCCTGTGGCCCTGCTTAGAGACCTCCAGGGTGGTCTGTGGGCTCCCAGGGCCTGAGGGAGGAGGGACCTAGTGGGGTGAGAAACCCTGGAGGCTGGCCCCTCTCTGTGGGGTGTGGGAAGCAGGGTGAGCGGCTGTGAGGCTGGCTCCTCTGGGGGGTGCGGGGTGGTGGGCAGTCGCGTTGGCAGTGTGGCCCTCACCCCGGCCCCTCCTTCCTTAGCCACCACCTTCTTCCACCACATCAACCTGCAGTACAGCACAATCTCGGAGTTTTGCACGGGGGAGACGTGCCAGACCATGGCCGCCTGCAACACGTGAGTGGGGTCTGTACTGGGCACCTTGCGGTCTCTGGGGGGCTGGCCCTCCTGCCCTCGGCTCTGCTGCGACAAGGCAGCAGTGGTCTTCGGTGTGTGAGGAGTGGATAGGCTTGCTGGCTCTCCGCTGGCTTTGGGGGTGGCCTGTATCCAGGTGCTCCTGTCACGGGGACATGTGTTTCCATAGTTGCTTCAGTGTCCCTGCAGCCTGTGGGGAGGAGCCGTGCAGTGTGGGGCCTGGAGGGGCGGGGGCAGCATGGGTGGGTCAGACTGTGCAGAGCTGGGTGGAGCCCCACGAGGGCTGGGGCCTCACGAGGGGTGGGGTCAGGTTAGAGTTGAGGGGGTGGGGCTCTGCCCGAGTTTTTTGACCACTTGTTCAGATGTGCAGGTGACTCTGTCCCACCGGGACATTATCAGTCCTCTGAGCTTTGGGGCTCGGTTTCCAGTACACCCTTGAACATGCTCTACCAAGCAGGGCCCACCCCCCTGCATAGGCGTGCCGGGGTGGCGGGAGGGAAGGGGAGGGGGAGGAAGGGGAAGATGGTGAAGTGGGCAGGGAGGGGGGAGGGGGGAAGAATGGGCAAGTGAGGTGGGGGTGAGGAGGTGGGGGGGCTGCCCTGCTGAGCGCTCTCCGCCCCACAGACAGTACTACTGGTATGACGAGCGGGGCAAGAAGGTCAAATGCACAGCCCCACAGTATGTGGACTTCGTCATGAGCTCTGTGCAGAAACTGGTCACGGACGAGGACGTCTTCCCCACCAAGTATGGTATGTCCCTGATGGGCAGGGCAAGTCCTGTCCTCTCTGGAGCCGAGGCGCAGGCGGGGTTGACCAGTGGGAGTTGGAGTTAGCCTTCCTGCGAGGTGCGCCCCTTCCCAGCTCACGGGCATCTGTTGGGCCTGCCTCCCCACAAGGCTGCCTGTGGGCCTGGTCAGCAACCTCGGGCAGTCAGGGCAGAGGTGGTTCAGGGTCAAGGAGACGAGTGTTGTCGCAGGGCCAGCCCCCTGCTCTCTGCCCTGGGCACAGCCAGGGGAGCCCACAGTGTGCAAGATGGATGCGTCACTCTAGGGGACGGGCCTGGGTGACAGCCTGGCCACCTCAGTGCAGCCGGAGGGGTGGTGTCAGGGCCTCTCAGTGGGGTAGGGAGGACATACCTGCCTGGATGGACAGTGGGACAGTGCCTGGCGTCTCCCTGTGAGTGGCCAACCCCGAAGTGGCCCTGCGGTGAGCATGCTGTCCGGAGAGCGCCCCTCCGGCTGGCACTGCCCCTAGTCACCCCCTCTCCGCCCCGCCCACCAGGCCGCGAGTTCCCGGCATCGTTCGAGGCGCTGGTCAAGAAGATCTGCAGGTACCTGTTCCACGTGCTGGCCCACATCTACTCGTCCCACTTCAAGGAGACGTTGGCGCTGGAGCTGCACGCCCACTTGAACACTCTCTACGTCCACTTCATCCTCTTTGTCCGGGAGTTCAACCTGGTCGACTCCAAAGAGACCGCTGTCATGGACGATCTCACGGGGGTCCTGTGTGCGGGCGCCGGCGGGGGTGGGGGCACCGGGGCCGGGGCCACGGCGGGCGGGGCACAGAACCACGTGAAGGAGAGATGAGCCCGCAGGCGGGATGGACACGCGCACGGAGGACGGAGCAGCGCGGGTGCGGGTGCGCGTGCCGGCCTCGCGGGTGCCCAGGGGTGCGGGAGCAGCCGCCCCGCATGCTGGACGGCCATGCGCCGTGCGTGCAGGGGACCCACGCGTGCGTGCCGGACAGGCGTCTGGACTGGCGTCGGGGGCCCTTCTGTGGGCCTGTCCCTGGTCTTCCGTGCAGCCCCTCCCCTGGCGGCTCTGCCACTTTTACAGAAATGCGTGTGCAGCAGTGACACCCCCCTCACCCCCTTGAGAGGCTTCTCTGCAGACTCTGGGTTTGGCCTGGTGTGGGGGTCGGGTTTATTTTTACAGAGAGACCTCCCTTCCTGCCCCACCTGGATGGTGGCTTGGTGGCCCAGAGTGGGTGGGGCGAGGACCCGAGTGATCCCGTAGGGGGGCCCAGCTGTCCCTTCTGCCCCTTTTCCTGCTTCCCAGCTGCCCAGGGAGGTGGCCTGAGACCAGTGGGTCCGGAGCCGCCACTCCCGGGCAGGCCTCGGGGAGGGCCTAGTGGCCTGGCGGGAAACGCTGCCGCCTCCGCTGTCACGCGGGGCCTCCGCTTCTTAGTTCGGCTGTTGAGTCCAATAAAACACGTTCTCTCAGGCGGGAGCCTTGACATGTGTGCTGCGTCTCCGGCGGGTTCCCCAGCCCCAGTCCACAGGCCTCTGTGAGCACCCACTGTAGCCAGAATGGGGGGCCTTGGCTGCCACACTGGCCAGTGTTAGAGTGGGAGGGCTCAGACACCAAGACCACCCCTACCTCCTGGGTGATTACGGCAGCGGGCCTGGGGCTTTGTGCAGGCTCCTGGGCTAGACTCCTGCCCCGCTTCACGGTGGGGTGTCTCTGCAGAGCCTCCAGTGGGGCCACTGTCTGAGGTGCCGTGGGGGTGAGAGAGATCACCCAGTGTGATTGTGCCGGCCCTGCTCCTTCCAGTGCTGGGTACCTCGGTGCCCACCCCTGTGGCCCATGCTGTCCACCTCTAGTCCCTGGACGCCTCCCCACCCTGCCTTGGGTCCCCCTCATGCTGTGTACCTCTGGCCTGGTGTCCTGCCTCACCCCAAGGCCTCCCACATCTGTCGCCCCTTCCCAGGTAGGTGCTGTGGCCCAGCAGCCTCACCCTCCCACCCGCCCCCTGCCAGGCCCCCCTTACCCTCAGTCCCTGGGTTCTCAGCTCACTGTCCAGCCGTCCCACTGGCCGCCTTCCAAGGGAGAGTCCCCAATGACCCAAGTCAACCTGTCCACTCTGCCCAACCCCTCGGCCGTGCCCCACACAGCCCATTGTGCTGCTCACGTGACCTGTCCTCCATCCCCCTCCTCCCCCCCAGAAGCCCCATCCTGCAGCAGAGAAGTCAGTGAGGGCGTCCAAGGTGCTGCTGCAATGAGCCCCAGGCCTGTGGTCCTAGTGGAGGATCCAGAATGCTTTAGAACCTGTCCAGAGATGCACCTGTGCACTGTTCCAGAAGGTTCCATCTGGGCTACCTGGTCATTCATGCTTGGTCCATGCCCCTTCATCCCCACAGGAGGAACTCTGGCCCTGTGCTGCCCTTACAGCTGCCTTCTGCCTTCTGTTCCCTGTGATGGATACCTCTGCTGACCTTCACCTGGACGTCCAGAAAATGTAGCCCAGGCAGGCGGCATCCCTGATGGGAGCCCTCACCAGGGCTTCACCTGTCCATTCCTGGGAGACTCCAGAGCAGCCCACCACCCCTGAATGCTGGCAGATACCCCTGGAAGAGGGTGGATCCTGGCCCGGGAGGCCAAGCCCCTCTGGGTGAAGCTGCTCCCCCATACTCAGAGCAGCCCTCAGTTTAGTGCTCTCCTGTGTCACCCCAGCTGCCGTCTGGGCCTTGACCCTCCCAGGGGCCATCTGAGTGGTCCCGCCAGGCACTGGCCATGGATGTGAGAGATGGAAGGGGCAGAGGACCTGCGCCTCACAGCTCATTGCTAGGTGCTGGCTGGCAGCCTCTCTGCTGACTGGGCATCTGTCCCCTGGTGGCCTCACACACGGTCCTGCCACGAGTCCCATTTCCTGGAGAGCGAGGCAGGTGGGCATGGTGCTTGCTGGGTTCCCTGCAGTGAAGCAGCCCACCAGTGGCAAAGCTGGAGGCCAAGGTCTGTCCCCTGGTCCTGCTTGCTTTCCTGCTCCTCCCCAGGGCCAGCCCCTCCCCAGGCCCGGTGTCAGTCGGCTTCCATTGCCTTGGTCGTGTTGGACGAAAGGATGTGCCCGCGAGTGGCCACGGTGATTACTTTGTCACATGCTGCTGCATTAGTTCCAGCTCCTAGTGACCCTGAACACGGCGCAGTGACCCCAGCCCCGAGGGACTGGCGACCCTGAGCACGGCGCAGTGACGGACTGCCCACCATGCCTCACCCTCACGCTTGAGCCTGATGTGGCAGTCACCTCGTCGGGTTCTAAGTCACTCCTCTCAGCTTTGAACCTCAGCTTCCCTGGGCATGTGTCCTCCAGGGACAGACCCCTCCTGGTCTCGCCGCCTCCACTGAGGAGCACCCCACTTCACTTCTCCCCAGACAGCTAACTTCCTCCTTCATCAGCCTGCACAGCCAAAGAGGATGCAGGATGCTGTCAACTGACCGCAAGAAAGGGGCCTAGCTGGGGTCACCACGTGGGCCTCGTGTCATCACCAGGGTCGTTGTGGGAGAGAGACCCAGGGGAAAGGCACAGGAGGCTTTGAAGGCGAGGAGGGGCCCCGGAAGGCAGATTATCCCCCGGAGCCTCGAGCTGGGAAGCTGCCCCCCACGGCTCCATGTCAGCCCAGCGGGACCCCTTCCGGGCCCGCCGACTGGCAGAACTGTACGGTAACAGGTCTGTGGTGCCGAAGTCATGTAGGCACCTTGTGACAAGGACTGTGAGAGGCCATTGTGTGGTCCTGGCCGCCCTCGCTGTCCCAGCTGTGCTCAAGCCCACCGTCACGGTCCCTGTGTCAGGGACTCCCCGCGAGGGGCTCCCACTCCTCCGCTCTCCCTCCTCTGCCTCCCAGGAGCCTGCTGGCTGCTCTTCTCCCCGGGCAGGGTTCCCGACCTGTGGGCAGGCCACGGGCATTCAGTGTTCTTCACGAACAAAGTTCAAAGGCACCAGCCTTCTCCGATCTTCTGACAAGTAATCGGAAGCCAGTGCGGCTTAGTTTCTGGCGGCTTAAAGGGGAAGAGCTGTGCTGCCAGCCCAGAAGCCCGCTCCACCAGCCGCTGTGCGGGGCACGGACGGGTAGCCGCCTCCCGTGCCATCAGCTGCCTCTGAAAACCCACTGGAGTGAGATACTGCTGTGACAAATACTTTAAAAATGTGCCCATGGCTTTGAGAGTAGTTAACGTGGGGAGAAGCTGGCAGATGACCCACTCGTCTACTGAGCACTCGGAACTCGGGGACCGTGGCCATGCTAAGCTGGGCTGCTTTAAGGGTCCCTGACATGAACGTTTATGGGGGTTACCAGAAACCGGTGCAAACAAGCCTGAGAACGAACACCATCAGAATGCAGGGTCCGTGAAGGCCCAGAAGGAAAAGAGCTTGTTCTGAACTGAAGGAGCGGAGCAGGGACCCCTGCTGGGCCGCTGCAGAAAGGTGGGGGTGGGGGGCACGTCCTGCTGGGCTCTGGAGAGACCCACACAGCTGGGAACGGAGGAGACTTCCAGGAAGACACTGAGGCACAGCGCTCACTGTTGCTTCCATTCAGATGGAAGACAAATTGAGGGAAGAATTTGAAAACCGAGAGCACCAGGACCTGCTGATTTTGGAAGTTCCCAGCCCGCCCAGATGACATTAAACAGATACTAGAATTAGCAGACGCAGAGAGTGTGGCCGAGAAGAGAAACCAAGAGTCCAGATCGGGGGCCCTAACACCTCAGGGACATCCAAGGAGACAGGGTATCCAGCCACACGCAGGGCTCTTGGAGGAGGTTAAGTGTGTCGTGTTGGCAAATGTTGAAGACTAACAGGAGACCCTCTGAAGGCTCTGTGGGCGAGGCCGTGGGGTGAGGGGGCATCGCTGTGTCACGTGCAGGGGACCTCCAGGGGTCTCTAGAATGTTACACTAGCCAACACCCTGCCGGCTGGGGCTGAAAGGCATAGAATGCCAGGCTGCCAGTGCGACTACCAGTCTCTCTCCCTGATGCAACAAAGAACACAAGATGCACAAAAGGATTTAGTCCAGTGTTTCCTGTACTCCTCGACCTCAGCTTTCAGGACCCTGAAAGCAGAGGAGCGAGGTGAAGTTCAGTGACCACTGCTGTCCACTCCAGAGGGGCCCCACGAGAAGGTGCTGAACAGAGAGGGACAGAAACATGGAGCATAGCTAGACAGCTCGAGGGCGGACAGGTGCGCTGGGGATGGAGACCCTTCGTCAGCCAGGAACTAGCTCCATCCCTGGGGCTCAGCTTTCATCCAGACGACAGGTACTCAGCGTTACCCAGCACAAGGTAGACCTGAGACATCACGAGAGCGGTCCACTCAGTCTATCACGACAATCAACGGGGCAGAATTTGCCTTAGGGGTAAAGCTTAGAAGGCAGGACAAGGTGGTGAGAGGGAGGCATGGAAGCAGGAGTTAACAGAAGAAGGAGGGAAGAGCCGAGCAACAATGTGGAGGTTGTAAATAATAGTGTGGAAAAGACGAATGTGAATGGTGGGAGGGCCACCGGCTCACCACATTCCGGCAGGCTCGACAAGCACGTGCTACTTTCATGGAAAGGGAGGGACAGTCCAGAGGGCATCCCATGCCACGGCGAGGGCCTTGGTTTCAGAGGCTCCCCCTGGGCCCTGGGTCCTGGTGGAGTTGGCCTCACTGGTTTTTAAATAGCTCAGGCCAGGAAACCCTGCTCTTCCCCCGGCTCCTTTCTGTGTTCTCATGCCTGTGACGTAGCTCTTACCTGTGCCACTATACTTTTTGGAAACAGATCACTTACTTTCTAATTTCCTAATTTTAGGTTTACAGATGGAAAGGAATTTTGCCCCAG